GGAGGGGGCCGGCAGGGGGGACGCGGAGGGCTCAGCGCAGAGGCCGGCGGCCCGGCCTCCGCAGCGACCAGGGCCCGAGCCGCCCTCCCCCCTGCGCCCCCCTCCCCGCCTCCTGCCCTTTCTCTCTCCTGCAGCCACCGCTTAGTTCTTATTATATTTTTTCTTATATATTTTTTCCCCCAGCTTCTCCTGCTCCTGTTTTTTTTCTCCTTTCTTTTAATTTTTTTAAAAACTCACTGCACTCCCAGTGCTGCAGGCCAGGTGGGGGTGGGGTGGGGGCGTCTGTCCAAGCCAGGCCCTACCCACAGGGCTTCCAGTGCTGCTGGTTCCAGGATGAGCCCCACTTTGCCTCCATACCCCCAAGTTTGATCAGGTTCCCCCACACAGCCTGGCCCCTTCCATGGCTAGTTTCTCCTGTAACCCCTCCTAAGAGCCTCCCTTCACCCAGGGAGCACCCCCACACCCGTAGTGGGCACAGAACCCTGGCCAGACCTTCCTCCCCTCCCCCCTACCTGGCCCCCTGCTCACTCCCTGAGCCATTTGGCTGATGGTCAGAACTGTCCGTCAAGGGGGCTCTGAGCCCCTGGGGACCCAGATGGGAGGAGGGAGGGGGAGAGGTCGGGGGTCAGGCCACGTCCCCTCAGCTCGTCTCTTTCCCCTCCCCCTTCCTAACAAAGGGAGCAGCGGCCTGATGCTGGGGTGGGGGGTGCCTGGTACTCAGGGAAGCAGGAGAGGAACTGTAGATGGCCATGGGCAGGAGGCGGGGTGGGGGCTGCTGGCCCCTCCTCGGCCCGCCCCCTCGGGTCAAGGCTAAGGTGATTCCTCAACCTCTCCAGGCTGGGCTTGGAGGGGAGGAGGATCTGGGCAGACAAAGAACGGGAGCCCCCGGGAGTTGGGGGCTGGGGGAAACACCTGGGACCCAAGCAGTTCTGACTGAGGGAGGGGCTGAGACCAGGCACCCTCCTGGCCCTGGTCTCACCCTCCTGATGGCCTTGTCTCCCATCTGCAGCAATCTCTATGAATCCCAGAGCCATGACAGAACCTTCCAGCTGGAGCAGGGTTGCATGCGGGAAGGAGGGAAACTGAGGCCCAGCAAGGGGAGACAGAGCAACGGATAGGATCCAGGATGGAGGCACAGCCCCAGGGTTCTCGGTGCTGTCCCTGCACCTTTCCCCTACTACCCCTTCCTACCCAGGGAGACCTATTCCTTCCCAGGTCAGGGATGACTTAGATGGATGGGGCAGGTAGTAGAAGTTTCTGTGGAGAAAAGAGAGGCTGAGTCTCTTCCAGCTTAGGCCAGCAGGGAGGGAAAAGAACCAGAAAAAAGAAATCCTCAGTGTGATCTGGCCTGGCACTGGCCTGGCACAGTTATGGTGAGAAGCAGATGCAAGGAACAAAACCATGCAGACAGGAGCCCCTGAGTGCAAGGAAGGGGGCCTTCAGAGAGGTCTCTCTTTTGCTCATGCTCACACAGCAAAGGAAGAGGATCGACAGTCCTGTCTACCCCCAAATCAACAGGACACTGTCTTGGGGCCTCACACCTGCCCTTCCTGACTATGGAGGGCAAAGGGGTATCACGGTGGCAAGCAGCTCTGAGCAGGGGTAAAGAGCTGCCAGAGAGACAGAAAGAGATGAGCAGATCTTCTCTCCCACCAAGGCTGAGATGACTCTCAGAGAGAGGGCCGCAGCCAAGGGGAGGAGGGAAATGGCAGGGCAGACCTCTTTTGGGGAAGTGGGCCAGGCTCAAATGTGCCCCCACAGCCTGTCCAGGAGGCCCCAGATGGGCCAAGGACTATAGGGGTCCCGGCTGCCCTCCCCCAAACCTCCCCTCCCTTCTCTCCCTCTCTTTCTCGGCTGGCTATCGACCGGGGCTGTGACATGGTAGATCAATACGGCAGGGATATAAAGCCGGCTGGCTGCCTGCCTGCCTCTGCCCCTCTCTCTCTCTCTCTCTCTCTCTCTCTCTCTCTCTCTCTCCTTTGCTTGCCTTGCTTCCCTTCCCGGAGCCAGCCGCACCCAGGCCCCCACCCCCATGCACCCCTTACCCCAGCTTCTGAGGGGCCAGGGCCCCCGCCACCACTCCCCTACAGCGGGAGAGCTTAGGGAGGCTGAGAGCTTGGACAGCCAGGAAAGGGGGTGAGTATGGGAGTGGGCAGGGAAGCAGACGGGAATGGTGGTCACACTCGCAGGTAAGGGGACTGGGATAAATTGAGAGACAGTCCCCCAAGAGAGAGCAGGCATCCCCTCATTTGGGAGCGGCTCAAGGAGATGGGGCCCTTTGAAGGTTCGTGAAGGATAAAGCTCTGGGAGGTGGGCAGGGGCCCCTAGGGGCACTGGGAGACACTGTCCTGAGTCCACGGGGAAGGGAGGGCCTGGGGTGCTGGAATAAGCTAGGGTGAATGGATGTGAAAAAGGGGCACCTCAGGCAAGCCTGCCACCCACCCACAGGGCCAAGGCTGCCCCATGCTGTGGATCTCTGTGGGTGGAAGCTGCCTTATCGTCACCCCAGGGCCTGGCCTGGGTGTGTGTAGGAATGGGGGGCTTGTGAGGTGTCAAACAGGAGGTTCCAGAGGGAGGGCTGTGGTGTCCAAGTTGCTATCCGTACAGGGTATGTGCGGGTCCGTAAGCTCTGCCGGGCACTCAGGGTCTGTGTGTCCTTAGTGTCTTGGCTCCTGAGTCATGTCTGTTGACCACGAGTCTGTGGGTGTGTCCCAGGGACCTCCGGGGTTGTATGTATATTTCCATGGGTGTCTACCTGACCCTGAGTGTCCTCAAATATGTCTCTTGGGAAAGTGTGAATGTATCCCAAGAACATTTCAGGGGATACTCTCTGTCCCCAGGAATTGTGAAGGCTGCATGCTCCTGTGTGCTCTCTGCGTGTGGTGGCATGTACATGCCCCAGCGGAGCATGTCTGAGCACGGGTATTTCCGTGAGCGATTCTCCCTGTGTCCTGGTGCCTGTGTTGTGGGTGGCTGAATGTGCACTTCAGGGCTCTGTGTGGTTGTCTCTGTGTGCGTGAGAAGCTCTTTCTCTTTATGAGTGTAGGAGTTTCCATGTGGTTTCTCTGTGTCTACGTGCTCCAGGTATCCTTGTGTGTTGATGGCTAATGCATTTCCATGAGTGGAATGGAGGCTCTGGGTGTGTCCCTGTGTGTGTCATGGTGACTCGTGCACATGATGGTGTATGTGGTGTGGAGAGGCTACACCCCTGAGTCTCTGATTGGGGAGGGGGCAAGGTGGCAGAGTCTGCCACTGAGACTAGCTTGGCCTTTTCATCAATTCATCATCTCCAAATACCAGTGTGAGGGCCTGCCTGCCTTCTTTCCCTTTCCTGCCAGAGGCCCCAGACCCCTGCCAGGGTGGGCACTGGCCCCCTCCTTTCTCCCACCTTGGGCAGGCAGTACCTCTGCTCTTCAACACCCGCTGCTTTGGTGGATGCCACCTCAGCTCCACCAAGCGACCTCCGTCCCTCCCAACCCCCCCAGCGCCACCCGCTCCCCCCGTCCTCCCCCCACCACAAGTCCAGTCCAACCCAGACAAAAGCAATTACTCCTGAGGTAGGATGTGAGTGTGGGTGTTAGAAACAGAAAAGGGGGGAGGGAAAGCAAGAGAGAGACACACACAGGCAGGGATGGACAGCCAGAGACCCAGAGAGACAAGGATGGAGCAGAGATGGACAGAGAGACAGGGACACAGAGAGAGACGCAGAGGGAGAAGCAGAGTCAGAAGATGAAAGAGACCAGAAGGGACACAGACACAGAAACCAGGAGGCAAAGGCAGAGGGAGGAAGGGGAGGAAGGGCAGGTGGAAAGAACATGCTAGAGACACACAGAAAAAGAGACCAGAGGGATGCAGAGAGACAGGGAGACGGGACACACAGAGGGAAACCAGAGAGGAGAAGCTGCAAAGGACACGGATCAAGAGAGAATGGGAGCCAGAGACGGAGAACTAGAGGACGGAGGTGCGGGGCGGGTGGGGAGAACTCCACACGGTACAGAGAGGGACGGAAAGACTAGAGAGAAGGAAACGGGCAGGAGCCCAGGGAGCCAGGGATGGAGACCGAGGGAGAGCCGCAGACGGAGATGGAGGGCAGTTGGTGATGCACTAGGAACTCAAGACAGCAAGCTGAAGAGAGGCCAAGTCCAAAGTGATTCTCTCTCCGCCCCCCTCTGTCTCTGTCTCTCTCTCTCCCTCACACACACACACACATGCACACACACACATGCACACACACACACACAAATCAGCTGTCTCCCCAGCCTCCGGGTCAGAAGTCGGGGATGCCTGAGCTCTCCGGCAGTCCGCTGGGCCCCTCGGAGCCAGAAGCAGGGTGGAAAAGATGAGCAGATGGTCCCATGGGCTGGGCTCACAGCCACAGGGCAGTTGGGAGCAGGGATCCCCCACCCCGCACCTCACCCTCACCCTCCACACACAGGGACACAGGCACTGGGAGCCTTGGATCAGTTTCCACAGTCCGGCAGTCACAGTGGGCCTGAGGAGGGCACAGAAGCCCGGGCATGGGGCACTTCCTTCCTGCCCACAGCCCATTTTCCGGGGCTGCCCTCAGCCTCGTCCTTCCATTCTTTCTCAAGCCCCCAACCCAGGGGCCTTCATCTCTCACCTCTGACATGCTCTCGGTCCCGTGCCCTCCCTCCCCTCCCTCTCGGTTTCTTCCTCACTGTCCCGACCCTTCTCTGCTTTCTGACGTCTCCCACCTCGTTTCTCTGTCGGCACTTCTCCTTGCCCCTTCTCTCTCTACATGTCTCTCTCCCAGGGTGTGCTCCAAGTTGAGTCTCTCACCCACGCCCTCAGGCATATTTCTGGACTCCCTCTCTCGGCTCCCTCTGCCCCCCTCCCGCCCCCGGGGAGCCTAGGCCATGGCAGTGTGGGAGTCCTGGAAGCAGTCCTGAGGTGACAGAGGCAGGGACACAGCTCTGTTCCTGCTTTTCCTTCAGGAGCTTATTTTCTTCTCCCTGTCCTTGCCCCCTTCTCACCCCCAGCAGGCTCCACATCCCCTCGTGGCCCTCTCTGGAGACAGAAGTAAGAATACTCCCCACACGCGAGACTCAGAAACCCTGGCACAGAAGAAAAGAGGTGACCAGTAAGGAATAGAGAGGCCAAATACAGACGAAGACTAAGAAAATGAGAAAGAAGAGGACAGGGTGGAACCACATGGCAAAGAAGAAGAAAAGGAAGGAAGATCAGGAGCAGAGACCTGCCGGGCATTGTGAGCCAGACAGTCTGGGTGGACATGGGACACTCACCATGATTCCCAACAAACCTTGCTAAAAACTTCTAGGGTTGGACCCTAAGGCCTGCCCTCTGTCTGCCAGCTCTCACACAGACCCCTGAGGAGCACCCCCCTCTATCTGAAGTCAGAGCCCAGTGCCTGCCCTCAGCTCCTGGGGTTCCATGCTTGCCAGAATGGTGATCACTCGGCCTTCAGTTGCTGTGGGACTGTCAGGCATTTCAGGGACCCGTTGTTTCAAACCTGCTAAGAGATGTGAGCCATTTTTACCTCATCCACATCTGTATATCCCATCCCACAGCCAACAGACACTCTGTCTATAGCTGTCTCTACCTACCCCACCCAGTGACAAAACTCAGCCAAAGGGATCAAGCAATCTCCCCACACCCCACAATGGGAGACAGCCCTTGGCATCTGGACTATAAATCCAGTGAAGAACACCAATGCCCAAAGCCCCTGCCCACAACCTGGTTCACACAGCTGCCACCTATGGAGTATCCCGTGGGTTTCACCCAAAGTCACTAACACCAAGAAAGCTGCCCTCCCCGACTAAAGCTGTGTTCTAGCACCCCCCAAACCCCATCTGTAACAGTAAATGCCCAACTCCTAAAGCCAAAGCACCCCAATTTCAATACAGAAGGAAACTGGGCCTGAGGATCTTGATACATCCCTGACCACCTATCATTTCTGGATCTTTTCTGCACCCACCACCACCTCTACACCTTCACCTGGAGTGAACATCTCTACCTTGTGGCTCAACACCCTCTTCATGCAGTTCTCTTCAAGTCACCTCACCAGGAACAGTGATGAAAGTCTTTCACTCACAGCTAAATGCCTGCTTCCAAGGCCTTTAGGACTCTGTGGTTAGTGTGGGTTCCCTGGGGCACACCCCTGGTGAGTACATCTGAATCATCTCTGCAACCCTGGGACCAGTTTCACATAACTTTTTGTGTAAGGATGAAGGGACAAAAGAGAGGGAGAGACAAGGTGATAACACAGCCCTGCTCCTGCCCTGGCACTCTGAGGACATCAGGCCCAGATGACTGTAGCTGGCCATGGGGACTCTGAGGCCAGGCTAGGATCCATCCACCATGCCCGATAGTGAATAAGAGCCAGTCAGCTAGACACACCTTCCCACTTACCAGAGCTGTAACTTATTCCTTGGCTTTTCCTAACCCTCAGGAGCCTTTCCTTATCACTTTCTCCAAAATTTTTCTGGAAGCCCCCTAAGCAGGCCAGTCTCTTCCCTTCTTCCCTAACCCAGCACCTTGTAGCCCCTTGGTTGAGGTAATAGTGTTTATGCCTGACTCTTCATCAGCTGGGGGCCCCTCTGAGGCCTCAGAAGATCTGCCTTTTTTCTTCTCCTTCAGACAATAGTTCAAGGCCTAGTGCACAAGAAATTCCAGAAAATGTTGGCTGTAAGAATAAATGAATGGATAAGGGTTTATGTGTCTGTTTGCTCACTTATGTATTCAAATACTTACTGAGCATTTATGTTGTGCCAGGGATTGAGTGCCGATGTGTTAGACAAACAGAACTTCCCCTCACCATGAAGCTTATGGGGGAGACACTAAGCACATAATATATAATCAGCCCTGGTGACAGTGCTCAGCAGGGAAGAGGGGTATAATCTTGCTCAGGGATCAGGGAAGGCTGCTTAAAGAAGGGGAGCCTTAAATGGAGAACTGAAGGAGGCAGAGACTGAACTCAACCAACAGCAGAGAGAAGCCCTGGCACAGGTGGGAAGAGAACTGGAGGAAGGAGCCGGGAGAGTGAAGGAGGGGGAGCCACACCCTAGCAAGGCAGCAGAGGCACACCTGTGCCCAGGCTGGGTGGAGGGGGGTCCTGCACACCCTGGAGCTCAGTCCCCACAGAGCATTGGGAAGCCTCCAAGCAGTTTAGGGGAATTACTTACCTTCCAAGCGTGGCTATAAAGGAAAGACAGTGGAGACAGGGGCAATGTTTGTTGTAGTTGTGTGACAAAATTATATACATAAAAGTGTGTGACATCCTTCAAAGATGTCTCCCTGAGGGTTGAATTTGTACTTGAACCACTCAGATATCTGGCAACAGCCTCCAAGGCAAGTTTACAAACTCTATCAGCAAAACACCTCTCTAGTGTATTACTATCTCGAGTTTTACTGAAAAACCCGCAAGTAGTTCCAGGTTTATTCAACACCTTCATTGCTAGGTTTAGCAGAGTTGGTGCTAAATCAGACGTAAGGTGTTCTCCCAAATCCAATTTACTCCCAAAGCACAAAGATCTGCAACCCTGTGGAGATTCCAAAATCTATGGTAGGTTTTGATGACGTAGAAGAATAAAAACTTTAAGTTCAGGCAGATCTGAGTTCAAATTCTGACTCTACCACTGACATGTCAGGAGACATTAGGCAATAATCAGGGCTAAGGACTGTCACCAGGCCTTCCCCTTTTGTTCCTTAGTTTTCTTCCCCTGTAATAGGTGGCTAACACCAACTTCACAGGATCACACTATAAATTCAAAGCAAAATATCCATAACAGGACCTGGCACATAGGTGGCCCCTAATAAATGTTTCCTCACTGGAATGTAACTCTCTGTCACATGTTACCAACTCTGTCCATATGTCCATAAAACCATGATACTTAATGAACACCTATTTGAAGACAAAAAGTAAAATAATAGACCTAACTGCAACCCCTACCAATGCTGTTAGCCCTCTGTTACTTTAGTCCAATTTTCAGGCAGGCCTCAAAGCCAACCTCTAGCCCCCAAATTAACTCTGCAACCTGGAAGATCCTAGACCTTCTTTTCAACCTCAAGGGTATCAGAGAGGACAGGAGTATTCCTGGGAAAGCTACAACTCTGGTTCCCTGAATAAGACACACTAGTGAAAGGACATGTTCTATACATAAGACACCCATACCTCACAGAAGAGGGATCTGGGAATGAGCTTTGGGGTCTATGAATATCCCTAAGTGGTAACAGAACTGGGTAGGTATGTGTTTTCCAGGGAGGCCTATAATGCTGCAAACCTAGACATCTATAGTATATTTGGGACCACAGGGAGATTTTTGAAACTTTGCATTAGTTGCCAACATTTTTAAGTTGGGAGATTTTAGCTAGGTGTGGTGGCATACATCTATCATACTGGTTATGCAGGAGGCTGAGGCAGGAGGATGGCAAGTTTGAAGACAGTCTGGGCAACTTAGCAAGATGCTACCTCAAAATAAAAAGGGTTAGGTGTGCAACTCAGTGATAGAATGCTTATCTAACATGCAAGATGCCCTGGGTTCAATCCTCAGTACGGGGGGAAAGGATGGAGAAGAAGAACTAGGAGATTTCACATAAAAATTGGGATTTCTGGCTTTTCTTGAAAAATTAGAAAATCTGGCAAGTCAGGGCTACCTTTGTGCATGAGCATAGTCAGTGGACCCACCCCTGCCCTGATGCTCATTGCTAGGGTCATGAGAAGCCGAGTGGAACCCACACGAGGGTTAATGCCCAGAGCCCTTGCTTCCCACAGATTTGAGTGGCTGGAAAACTTGGGCTTTGGTTTGGCCACCTCACTGGGACTTCACAAAGTATTATTTGCTCAGGGTAGTGCTTCCAGTTGTATCTTGAGCTCCTACTTCCTAAGGCTACATGATTTGCAGAGAACTTCTTTCATCTTTACAACACCTCTGTGTGGTTGATACTGTGATTTCTCATCCTTTGGCAGCTGGGGAAACTGAGCCATGCCCAGGATCACAGAGCCACCTGTCCATCCTTCCTCTATCTCATTTGTCTTCTGGACAGCACTGTTATTATTTCCCATTTATAGGTGAAGAATGGAAGCATCAGTTTTTCCAAGTCCTTTGCAATTAGGCATACCTGACCCCAGAGCCATGATCTGAGCCACTGTTAACCTCATCTCTCTCCCACTGAGCCCTAACACTCATCCAAAGGAACACCCATGGTTACCAACACCAGAACTACTGATTTGGTCAGAAAGCTACAGTACATATGGAGAAAGAGAACAAACCAGTCAGACTCTAACCTCTGGGGTTTGGGCATAGCACAGGGAAGGAAAGCAACCCCCCAGGGGAGGCCAGTGACCAGGATTGGAAAGCAGAGGCTTCTGTGAGTGGTCAGGATCCCTGAATACAGCAATACATAAGACTTTGAGGCCATGGCTCTTACCTCTTAGGCAGACGCAGCAAAGCTAATACATTCAGGCCACCAACCCGGTCCAGTAGAGAACCTAGAGAGAGAAAGAGAGGGGTGGGGGGGAGAGAGAGAGAGAAAATGGAGTCAACATCCCAGGGAATTGGTCTCAGCCTCCTGTAGGATGATGCACCCCTCCAGCAGACAAATTTTCTTCCTGTCTCACCACCAGGAGTTGTAAGTTGGTGAACTGTGAAGGCAGGTACCTGGAACTCGGTTCCTGCTGTCCACTTGTTACCTTCAGTAGTCATATCTGGCTCCTGAACCTCAGAGTCCACATTCTCGTAATGGGCATATTGGTATCTGCCCTAGTTGCATATATATTTTTCCTATCAGACAGGAAGCTCCTTAAATGACAGGGACTGTCTTGCAGTTTAGCATGTGGCAGAAGGCCTGGTAAATTTGAGATACTCTCTAAGTACATAATGGATGACTGAATGAACGAATGAGTTAATTAATTAGAAAACTGTTTCTCTCAAAAGACTGCTGGGAGGATATAGTGAGAAAGAAATTTAAAGAGTTTCTTGTTATTAGGTGCCTATGTACTGTGGGGAGATGAAAATGAAAATCCTAATGATGATATTTCCATTCATTTTTTTTCCTTTGGTTAGTTAACAAATATTGAGGGGGCACAGACAGGGCCTCTGCTCTGTCTGCTGGCAGGTTCATAAGCAAGTTGGGGATACAGAGTAATGCCAACACACTGGGGTAGACAGAGGGTGCTTCAGGAATCCTAGAGGATGTCAGGGAAGACTTATGGAGGAAGCAAACACCCAAGCCAAATCTCAAAGACAAATAAACTCTAGTCAGGCAAAGAGCCAGGTAGAAGGAAAGAGTATGTGAGTCCTTTGCCTTCCAGGGTTTGTGACAAAGTAGGAAAGGATAAAACTTTGGAGATCACAGAAGCGTCACCCTGTAGGGCCTCAAGAACCTAGTCTAAGCAATTAGGTTTCACCAGAGATGGAGAGGGACAGGACGCAGTTTGTCTTTGGATAGGTCCTTCTTTATGCTGTGTAGAGATGGAGAAGACAGAGAGATAGACAGGAGGTGTGTTGACCCACCCCCAAAGTGTTTTCACCATGCTTCTTAACAACCTGCAAGAAGGCAGAGTAAGAGACGGTATTGTCCCTATTTTACAGATGTGGCAGATGAGGCTGCAGGAGATGTGACTCACCTAGGACTGTGTACAGTTCAGCGAGGGAAAGAGCTGGCTGGAGAGTTCAGGAGGCAGGGAACCTCCTCTCTTCTCGAAAAAGCTGCTTGAACCCACATAAGGACAACTCTTGCCTCTGCTTGCTGTGGGCATTCAGAGAAAGGGCCAGGCAGGGACTGTGGGATAGGGAGAGACTTCCCAGAACAGACAGGTACTAACATGTGGAAATGGCTCAGAGCAGCAGAGCTCTGTGGGCAGTGTCACAAAGCCAGGAAGCCCAGCTCTGCCTGACATCTGTGTGTCCCCGAGACCTAAGAGAGGAGGGAGAGAGGCCATGGCCTTCAGTGTTTGATAAATGACTTTTCTATCTCATGGCAGATCTGCAGGCACAGAAGGGGAGACTGAGGCTCAGGATCAGCCAAGGACACACAGAATTCAGGGAGTTATCAAAGTTCAGGAGGAGACAAGAGAAAGAAAACAAGACGGACTTTGATGGAGGGAAGATGAGAGAAAAGAGATGGGGAGACGCAGAGAGGAAGAGTGAATAGCCAAAGAGAAAAGTCCAAATTGGAGAGAAAAGGGGAGTAAACCCAATCAGGGGTCCCCCAAATCTCCCTCATTTCCCTTTCTCTCCGTAGGCCTCTATATGGGCCTCCATTCTCAAGGACAGAAGGGGATCGGGACCCCAGTCCCTGGGGCGAGGGAGGAGCTGGGGTTGCTCCCCCTCAGGGGCTGCTCCCCCCACCCCACCCCCGCCCCAGAGCTAATCAGCGGCTGTCATCTCCACAGTGAGGTCTTGGTTAAGGAGATTTAGGGCCAGGATCAATAGGAAATTTAAAAATCGATGCAGCGCGCAGGGCAAAATCGATGGCGTTTAATCGCCTTGCCGATTCCCAGTCAAAACAATTAGCCGCGCTGAGTGTTGAACACGGTGGCAACACGGCATTAACCGTCAATATTGGTGTAAGTGATGGCGGGGCGGGCAGGGAATCCCCAGGTCTCAGAGGGGCCCAGAGTCAGACACTGCCTTATGGCTGGGGTCTTCTCCAGAGGCAGTGCCCCCACGTTGGGGCTTCTCTCCAGCAGGGCCCACTCATATCTCTCTGCCCT